GCTATTCAAATAAAGAAATAATTTTCTATAACACTTCAGGATTGATTACAAAGGCTTGGACAACAACTGGAACTAATTAACCAATCAACAAGTTAGAGTTTTTTCTGTAAATAATTATGTGGATGGTGGTGGTGGTATTGGTGATGGTGGTAGTTTTAAACCCAATATCTAGTACTTATTTGAAAGAATTTAATTAGGGAGAAGGAAGGAGGGGGAGACATCTGTCAAGATTCGAGGTATTCATGAACTACTTTGTCAAATGACAGCTCCTTTGCACAACTGCTTAAAGATAAGAAAGAGACACAAGTCTTATTATTCTTCTTTCTGGCTTCCCACCTTGTTGTACCCACCATGCATTGAATAAACTCTTTTCCTCCATGGCTGAAAGAATTTTTATCATATTCTATACCTCTAGATGCTACATTCTAAGGGCATTTTGGCATTTGAGAGACTTATCTAAGTGATTTTAATCCATTAATCAGACTTTAATATTAATTTGATATCAAAGAGATCGTCAAACACTTTTTAACTCAGTTTATAATATGCTTCTACAGGTTAGGGGTTCCTCATGACTATTTCAGAATTGTCCTTTTAACAATATTCATAAATGTAGTATTTGTGATATAGATGACCTTGCAAATTCTTCTCTCTCTGTCTCTGTCTCTCTCTCTTTTTTGGATACTTCTATATAACCCAGGATAGCCTTGAACTCAACGTGCTGACTGTTGGGATTATAGGTGTGTGACAGCATGCCAATCTGGTTAAATTACAAATAATAGGCATTTCAAAAAATATTTATTCTATTTAAGAACAATATATGCTTTTTTATTTGTTTTTTTTTCTTTATTGAGCTGTTGCTCCCTCAGTCTTTCTGTAGAAGCAATAAAGCATAGGTAAAGCAAATCCCACACTCAGAAAATTGAACTGAGCTTAAGCGTCATGTGCCCATTTATTTAAGATAGACTAGTATAGACAGGTTTAAACCCTGGAAATGCAGCACGTTGTATCTGTTATCCCAGTACTAATTTTTGGTACTGATAGGTTCAGTAAAAATTAGGATGTTTATGTCTGAAATCAATGGGTAATTTGTGGCAAGTAAGAAGTTTGCTGCAATATATATCCTCACAATATATGTTCTTAAACATGTAGTCTAGTCCCTAGCATGGCAAACATTCTATAAGAATTTCCATTCTAAAATTCTGCAGATTTCTTATTAACTTTACATTTATATATTTTATTTTATATTTATATTCCAAACAATATCCTTTATTGAATTTTAAGTTGAATTACATTATCTGTTTATAGAAGACTTACTGGGTTATGACATTTTTTTCTTTAGGTACTTTTCCCGAATCATTATGTTTTTCTTAATTCTGTTTTTGAAGCTGTTTCATGTATATATAAAATCAGACCATTTGTCATAAATGATCATTTTATTCTTTCTGCAACAATGTAGTAAAGCAACACTTATAATGTTGATCTTCACAGACATCTTTGTCTTTTTCCTAATTTTATTCATTTACTTTGTGCTAATCCTGTGGCTTGAACTCAGAGCCCATGAACTGTCCCTGTGCTTTTGTGCTCAGGGCTCGTCCTCTACCTCTTGAGCCAGTCATAGCTCATGGCCTTCTGGAGGTTCCTTAGAAATAAGACCCTTATGGACTTTCCTTCCCTGGTTGGCTTTGAACCACAATCCTTAGATCTCAGCATCCTGAGTAGCTTAGACTACAGGCATAAGTCACCAGTGTCTAGCTCTAATCTTAGATAAAATTTGTTTACATATTGTCAGTTACACAAATATTTGGATGAATGCTGGCTTTCTCATGAAGTTTCAAAAGAAAATGAAAGACAATAGCAAGCTGTATTAAATTGGACTCCATTGCTACATCTTAGGAGAAAATATTGTATAAATATGATATATATTTCCCTAGTTCTCATCTAACCCTCTTGAATTTTAATGAAAACATGTCATATATTTAAATTTACATTGACCTTAAAATAGCTATAACTTATTACACATAGTCTTAAATACTTTTAATTATCAGTGCCTAGTCTTCAACACTTTTGTGCAGAAAATAGAACGTGATGTTTTACAGAAAGGAACTTTTCTGTCTATGTGTATGCATCATAGCATGAAGTTGACAGAAATGCTGAAAATCATGGGACTTTTGCTTTTCTTTATAACCTTCCTATAGAAACATGTTCATTAATTAGTAAAGATAACCTTGAATATGTCGTGACCCTCATTTTAGCTTTTGTGATATCACCTTCTTCCTGTCATTAAAAGCGATGTATTTCAAATCTTTACAAATAAATGAGCTGAAACACATAAAACTCAATTCACTGGAGATTTTGTCAACATCTGGTAGAGTTATTTTCTGACTAATTAGAGCAAGAGGTGGGGGCAATTCCCTGAAGTGAGTTACCCTAAATTTGGATATCTAGTTATCGCTGCAGTCAGCAGCTTACATACATTGACCATTCTGATCCACAATTTGACAAACAATTATGCAGCGTTTCCAACCTGATTTCCTAACACCACTTACGTTGTGTTCCACATATCCCTAAAAGTTACCTTTTCTTAGTACTCTTATAGTCTTTTCTAGGTCATTATACTATGCTATTTATATTATTGGGGATATTGACAGTATATCCTTCCAGTGCAATGTTCTTTATTTGTCTTTGATTAGTCCCTTATTATTTATGATTTGGATTTTGAAAACATATATCCATTATATACAAGAGATAGGCAGGAAGAAGAAGAAGACATCAAATGCTTCTATTTTTTTTCAGAAATCATTTATCACTATTTAGCTTAGCAATGTTGATGAAGGATATCATAACAGCTAAACATATTTTTCAAATTACAAAATACAGATTTGGAAGGTATCTCAAAACTTAAGTAGCTATTTATATTGTTGAAGAGCAAAAACACTTAAACCGCAGAAGAAAACTATGAATCTTTCTGATTTCAAAGAAGCCCAAGAAATTTCACAACTATCCTAAATTATTCCATTGTGGAGTAAAACATTATTATAAAGAAGTTTCTTTCAAGGTTACTCCTATAAATTATTAAAATATGCTACATTTTTTCTGCCTTTAATATTTCATCTTTAAGAAAAATATCTATAGAACAACGAAGTCAGGAGACTTATCCATGACAGGAGTCAAACACTCTCATCAAGACTCACCCAGAAAATGGTCCTTTGCTTATTTCTCCATTTCAAACTATCACCATTCTGTTACTCTCAACTCCACTTCAAGGGAGTTAGGATGCATATGCAGATGTATTATGGGGCTATAAGAAACTTTGAACTTGACTCAGACATATACTAGTTATTGCAAATAAGGGAAACCATGGGACCTATGTTTTTTGGGGCCTGGCTTACTTCACTTAATATAATTTGTTACAAGTCTTTCCATTTCCTAACAAATGGGGCAATGTCATTCTTTCTGATGGAGGCATAGAATTTATACTAGTTATTGCAAATAAGGGAAACCATGGGACCTATGTTTTTTGGGGCCTGGCTTACTTCACTTAATATAATTTGTTACAAGTCTTTCCATTTCCTAACAAATGGGGCAATGTCATTCTTTCTGATGGAGGCATAGAATTCCATTGTGTATGTATACCACATTTTCTTGATCCATTCATCTACTGAGGGGCATCTGGGTTGGTTCCATATCTTAGCTATGGTAAATAATGCTACAATAAACATAGTTGTGCTGGTAGCTTTAGTATGGTCTTGTTTGTGATCATTTGGGTAAATGCCCAAAAGTGGGATTGCTGGGTCATAGGGGAGTTCTCTGTGGAGTCTTTTGAGAAACCTCCACACTGCTTTCCAAAGTGGTTGAACAAGTTTACACTCCCACCAACAATGCAGTAAGGTTCCCTTCTGTCCACATCCCCTCCAGCATCTGTTGTTATTAGAGGTCTTGATTATAGCCATTCTTACTGGGGTGAGGTGGTATCTCAATGTTGTTTTGATTTGCATTTCTTTTATGGTGAGAGAGGTTGAGCATTTCTTCATGTGTCTATTGGCCATCCTTATGTCTGAGTCAAGCAGAAAAGGTCAGATAAGTTGATGTTAGGGGAATGAACCCCAAGATAAGTATTCAATTTTTTTTCCTTTAATGCAATTATTTCTAACATATTTATAAGATGATTTCTTTGTTACTTTGTATGTCCCTCCACCATGGTATAACTCATGCTTTCACTGTATTTGATGTTGGTATAATTTGTGGAGGGGAAGGGAAAGAACAAATCGTTTAACTAGGGATACAGGTGGACCCATTGCAACAATGAGATGTACAAGTCGTTCTGTTGAAAAACGAACTTTACAACTTTGGTGGGGGTTGGGGGGAGGATTGAGTGGGAGGAGTGGGTAGTATGGGAAGGGATGGGAAGGGGAAACAAAGAGGAGGCATCAATGCTTGATAAGAAATGTACTCGTTATCTTGCCTATGTAATTGTATCTCCTCTGTATGGTATTCTCACAATTAAAAAAAATAAAAAATAAAAAAAGCAACCTTGAACTTAAAATATTTATAAGTTCCTTCGAAAATATAAAGGGAAACTATGTATATAGGTAAACAATTGACAGAGATACCAATAAGTATAATCTGTTCTCAATTGAATATGCTCTCCAGATTTCAGGACTTTGAGATCTGAAAAACCACAGTGAAATCTGAGGACATTTTCTATGAGGACATTTACCCTTAATTCAGTCTATTCATTCACAATATTTATCCTGAGCATGAATCAGGTGCTCATTGCATGCAGTCCATAGGAATCAAGAATTTATTCTTTATGGTTTACTTTGCAATGCATAGAATCAGGAATGATTTAGATTTAGGTATCACAGAAGTGTAACCAAATGGGTTGAACACATTTTTTTTCTGAAGGATATTAACGCAGTCTTCAGCTTCACTAATTGAAATAACAGTCGAACAGCAAGCTGGTGTGGCCAGCGAATTCATGAACGTAATCCAGAACTCACCCGAGGATTCGTCTACTCTCTCATCTACTATGTGGTCTTTCTGATGAACCCATTCACTGTTGCACTTGAAGTAGATCTGGGTGGCTGGGCTGGCTTTACAATACAGGTTCACAGGCTTATTCTTCACAATATAAGCCTCTTCTGGCTCGATAAGGAAATGTGGCAGAGGCTCAGGTGGATCCGATGGAAACGTTTCTGGGAGTTCATGGAAAAAGTCATCATCTAGTGAAAAAGAAGAAAGTGGAAAATGGGCAAAACATAAAAATTTGCCTTTGACTTGCTATTCATTTTAAGTGATTTACATGCCTGTTATATGTAAAGCAATGTACTAGCTCCATTGACTATTTGCTAGCTATCACAGCCAGATTATAATTGTCATTTCTACATAAGACAAAACTTAACTTCGGGGAGAACAAATAAGTAAGTTGCCCTGCAAACAGGAAAAACAGATTGGAATGCAGATTTCTCTCACTCATAAACTGACATTCCCAATATATGTCTGCACTTCCCAATAGAACTTGTTCTTGTTGAGCACTGAACCAAACAGCGAATTCACAAGAGGAAGGTATTTAAGGTTAAGCACTAAAATGTAGATAATATCAAGTAAGTCAACAGTAGAGCCCTAGTAAAAGATGGACAGAAATCTAAAAGTGATGTGTGAACTGATTTTAAAATTATACTGGGGATGTTAATATGGCTTGGTATGCCTAATTAGACCTATTAGAACATTACTGAGTGAAAAAGTCTCGATTTTATTGCACTCAAAATTATCAGACATTGCTCCCAACCTAATATTTTCACAAGTAAATAAAAAAAAAAACTTGAGATTCTTATACACTTGAGGAAATTTTATTTATTTTTTGACTTGATTCTATATAATTTCATTGGTTAAAACTACCATGTCAACAGAAAAAAATATATATATTAAATGAAGTAAGTTGGGGTCAAAGAGACAAAGGCACATTTTTTTCTCATATGTAGATGTTAGCTCTAAATGATAAATGTCTATATTCAAAATGTCCAAGAATATTGACTGAAGTATTATATTGACAGGGGACGATTCCAATTGTGTCATTCCTTTGAATTTACCGTGCAACAAAATGAATATGAGAAAGCTGAAACATGTTTTTTCAGAGGGAAGGGAAGTCAAGGAGAGGGTGAACAGATGAATGAAGAGAGGAAGGATGAGTAAAAAGTCATAATATTCAACGTACAATTGAGAAAATAAAAGCAGGTAACTTGAGGGTGTGGGTGGAGTTGAGACAGTCGAGGATGATAGAAATGCTGATGATCAAGATATGTTGTAATCATAAACTAACATGTTGAATTAAAATTCTTGGTACACTATTTAAAGATAAAAAAAAATCAAACTACTAAGTAAAAACTTTTCTTTTTTCTTTTTTTCTTTTTTTTTTTCTTTTTACTGCTAGAGGCCAGTTTGGGTGGTAGCCTAGCAACAAAGCTCTAAGTTCCAACACTACTACTACTAAAATTAAAATTTTTTACAGCTCTGTGCTGCTGGCTTACACCTGTAATCCTAGATATTCAGGTGGCTGAGATCTGAAGATCGAGGTTAGAAGCCAACCTGGACAGAAAAGTCTGAGATTCTTATCTCCCATAAACAACTCAGAAGAAATACAAAAACCCCAAACCAAATCAAAACAACAACAAAAAAACAAACCAGAAGTGGCGCTGTGGCTCAAGTGGTAGAGTGCTAGCCTTGGGCAAAGGAATCTCAGTGACAGTGCCCAGGCCCTGAGTTCAAGCCCCAGGACCAGTTAAAAAAAATACTATATCTTTAAAGGTACATGTATGTGCAATATAAAGATGATACCCATACTGTTCATTAAAGTCTGGCTGTTCCCATTTTATCTTGACTCATTCCATTGTTGACTCATTTAGGGAGCTAGCCATTGATAAAGTTGACATCTGCCCATTGAGAAATCTGGCTTGGGGATTTTTTTCATCCTGGTGTTGGAAGAGCAATCAAGTAGTGATGACACACAGTCTGCCAATCTGCACTGCAGTCAAACTTGGCTTCTCTTGCACCAGAGACAAAAATCAGCTTTCAAAGCTGCTCCCACCACTGTCAGTTCCTGACGTGGCATGCAAATTTTGATGTTTGCTGCAGCTACCTTTCTTCCTCACTTTACTTCCTTAATTTACTTCTTCCTGGCAAGGCATCACTTCTAGTTTTTCCATTGTTGAACCACAAAGATCCAAACTGTCAGCTTACTAAAGAATAACCTAGTTTCCATCAATTCAGCTTGAGTGGTCAATAGGCACTCAAGACTGCTGAAATAAACCTAGCTCAGAAAGGCACAGACATGAGGAATGATGCTATCGACAGATCCTTCACTACAAAACTGATATCTTGAGGGCTTTCTCCAATCTTTTTTCTGCCAAAGCACTTACTGTTATATGTGAAGATGGAATCAATAAAGCTCCACCAATCATAGGACTCAAACTACAGAAAAGGTTAGCTGTTGTGTTTCATCATTATTATTTGTAAATTCAAACGAGTTGGTAAATGAGTAGTGAATGAACTTCCAAAAATTATCTTTATTTAATTCTGCAAAATAAAAACATTTCTTCCTTTCAGCCATGGTTTTAAGTGTATTCAATTTGCTCCTTTTAAAGGAATGGATACAAGATATCAGATGATTGTTCCTACTTTGCTTTATTCAATAATGTGGCATAAATATTTATATGTTCACATCCTATAGAAAGACTCAGACACTAAAAATCGATTACCTTGCCTTGCCAAACCATACATATCTGTTTATTCTGATGATTTTATTGTGAACTACTGAGGAGAATAATGGAAGATTAGAAACTCATACATACATTTTGAAGATAAAAGGGAGTGTGTTTAAATGTAATGATGCTATAATGTATCTAGAAAATGTGAAAAAACTGACTTTGCATTTCCTTATTTTTGAGTTTCAGACAAGATGATCATTATAATAATTAGAAATAAATTTATGTTTTGGTTTGGAGCTTCACCCAACATTGATTTAAAGTGCTTATTAAGACTTCAATGAAACTTATTAAGGAATGATTTGCTACTAGCAACGTTTTCTTTTTGTGATAAATCCAATGTTACCTTTACACATCATTCTAGCTTCTGCAAAACCCATTTCTTACTTTACCTCTAGAGAACTGTCTTGTCCAAGAGTAGTATATTAAGCTTACTAATATTTCTTATTAAAAATACGTATGTATACACATATTATAAATTCCATTCTGTGCTCTAGATGAATTTATTTTAGATGTTATAGCATGTCACTCATATTACTCAATTCATGCATTGGAAAAAACAATAAAGAAAATTATTTATGAAAATTAAAGATCTTGAACCAGTAAATATGAAGAGTAAATAATGGTGACAAAATGCAACTGGGCTGCTTATTAGTGAGATAACCAAATGTTCTGAAACTCCTGCCTCTCCCTTTTAACACTATCTACTCTGAGAACCACAATCAGCCATGGGTATAGGTCAGAACAACAATTCCCTCCACTATCAAGTTAGTCATGCTACGTGATCCAGATCCTACCTGATTGGTCCAGTAAAACACTGACTCGGCATTGGCATGATTACTTTTAAAAAATATTTTTTAATAGCAATATTTTAGAAATTGTCTTTTAAACAACATTATATAATAAAATTTTCTCCTCCTAGAGAATGTTTTGAAAACAAAAAAAAACAACCCAGAAAATGCATGGGGCCTGGTTTCATGTGATAAGAATTCTGAGACAGGATAGTAGAACGCTGAGCCCAGCTCGGTCCTACCTTCACGTGACAGCTCAGGACATGACACCAAGAAAACCAATCTACAAATATTAGCAGACTGAATATTCCACTCCGTAGACAGTCACAAGAATGAGACTATAAATGTCTTAGTAAGCACTCTCTTGAGAATTTATTTGATGTTCCCTAGTGGATTTTTTTGGTATTGTTTGTTTTTGTGGTAATTAGATATTGTTAGAAGACATGAAATTAAGACCCTGACACTCAGGCTCTACCCAACTCTCTAAGCAAGTGGATTTGCAATGGTGTGTAGGTGAAGATGTGTGACTTTATCTGTTGATGGGTCTTCCCTTTGGATGAGCTCCAGTACCCATCTGTAGGCCTGAACCAAAGCCAGGAAATCCTGAAATGCCACAGTTAAATCTATCAGACCATTAACAACTCTTCGAAGCATAGAGTTCAGAACATTTGAGGTTCTACTTTGACCTGAAAACACATGACAGAACTGAGTTCCTATCATACGATTCATTTTACTACACAAACAAATATTTTTTTCTGATACTATTAGGGTCATATTATAGAACTTGAAGCTATGAAAGATTCACCCTTTATTCCACAGGGCAGATCAGTGATCAAATTCTCTTGTTATTTTATTTCTCCCAAGGGGGTAAGTTCAAGGTGATGCTAGGACTCTAATTTGTGAGCTATGACTTCAGTCTGTGAGCTTATTTCTGGCACCCTAAACTAATACATATCTCAGCTTGATATTGGCTACATTCCTCTATTTGCCAAAATTATTTGAATAATGAAGTTGCTAACCAAGTCTTTTCCACGTAGTTTTTTCCAGATTAACAAAGGGAAATTTCCAAAGTGGCTCTTGTTTTGTACATTGAATTCTATATCCACTTAAGCTATGTATGCCTTTTATGATGTGGTTATCATGTTGTTATTCATTTTATTCTCCTTGAGATTTGACTTAATTTTCTACTTTCTACTACTATTCAATAATGACAAACCAACAGTAGCTCCATTTCTATCCTGGTATTAGTAAAGCTCAGTATTTCGATTCCAGTTATCTCACATGGCTTTTTGCTTTTTCATTTATATACAAGAAAGAAAGTGTTATACCATGTATTATTTTTATAGACTTTCATTCCACCTAATTCTTGACAGGAAAATATTATGCTATGAACATCCATCTAGGAAGCTTTAGGTTGCTGGTTTTATTGCTATAGATCAAACCTTAATTTTCATCAACTTAATACATATGTTTCTATATTTCTGAATCATAAGACTTAAACTATTATTGCTTATATCATAAAATATAGGACCATTATCTCTTTGTCTGAGACTTGAAGCGTATTCTTCTGAAATGGAATTTACTTCCAAATGATTCCAGAGCAATTTAAAATGAATGACTTCAAAGCTAATTTTATGTGCATTTAGCCATCCATCCATCAGAGAGATAATT